ATAAAATAAAATAAAATAAAATAATAAAAAAAAAAAATCTGAGGAGGCTTTTCAGTGAAGCTGATACCTGCAATGGTACTGACTGAAAGTAAGTGTTTAAGATTTCATGGATTTTCCTTCTCAAGCCCTGAAACAGTTCTTTTCTATGTTCCAGGAAAGAGTTTGAGATGGACCTTTGCTGTCACTGGTCTCTTTGGGGAAACAAAATAAACCAGGCAGTCACAGACATGCCTTTTTTCAAAGCAAAAGAAGTACCTAGAGAAGTTTGTATGTTCCAGAGTATTCAAGAACTTTTAAATCACAAACACATGATGGGCTTAAAACCTGTAATTAGGAATAAAACCTCATCTAAGATATATTATTTTTTTCTTTTTGCTTTTTTACTTTTGAAAATGACACAGCGCACAGAAATGGGGGATTGTGCTGGGGATCCACATTGATGCTGCTCATGAAAAGAGGAACTGAAGGATGGTTGGGGTTTCATGACGTTAGGTGGGACTAGATCTCCATTGTGCAGCTGGTGTATCCCCAAAGGACAGTAATGGTCAGAAAGACTGACCTGATGCACTCAGAGGAGAATCCATGCATTCACCCAGAGTGAACCTTCATATACTGCTAGCATGAGAGAGATGGAGGAGCTGGGAGCAAAGTTATGACCTTCTCATTCTGTTTCTAGATATAAAAAGGACACAGCAATCTTCAGAAAGCATCTGAAGATTCAGAGCAACTCCTTCAAAGCATGGGAGTTCATGCCTTGGATCTATACCTTGCACAGCCACAAAAGACTTGCTAGGAATACAGAGCCATAGCATGGGGTAGGAAGAAGGTACTCTATCAATGACCTTCTACAAATGCTAGTTTTATTCTTAAGAACTTAAGGATGGTAATGAAAATGAGATCTTAGTTCCACTTTATCACAAAACAGTCAGACAATGTCCTTCTACCTTTTCATAATGCTCTATCAGAATTTCAACGACGATATTCTGAAACTTAATGTTCATCATAGCAGCCACGGTTTCTTCTTGGGCTCTCATCAGAGTTGGTCCAAAGATAACACCAAGGTTGGATACAGTCATTAGATTTTGCTGACTGTGTAATGATACCCTTTAAATGAACACAAACAATATGCAATTAAATAGTTGGGCTAAACTACAATTCCAACAGGCAAAAACCTGTTAAGACTATTTTTTTTAACAAGATCCAAAGTTCATGCCTCCCCTTTAAAAACATTTTTTAAACTTTTACTAGAGTCAAAATGTAGACTAGTACAACTACTCTATTTCCATTAAGGCTCCCATCCTGCAATAACTTAATGGATAATGAGCACATCTCCCTAGAGTAAGTATTTAAGTTCCTGACATAACTGACAGGGAAAAGCAACTATCTTTGAAGGTCTCCACAGAGATCCAAGACCATCTAAAGTTTAGGAGTCTTAGGGTAGGTACCTATCTCTCTCCGATGCTTAAACAGGAACTTAAATACTTGATGTTGGATTGACTGAAAATACTATGATATAACGGAGCTCAACCATACACCTTAGCTTTCATGTAAAGGAAAGAAACTTACTTACTGAAAACACATACATTGCAATAAGATCTCTTTATTAATATGTTGAAAACACAGGATCAATGGGGTCAGTGAAATCATTGTTTCTGTGGTATAGATAACACTAGATGATCATAATGACATCTTCTGGCTTTAAAATATATTAACCTTTTACTTCTGTATACTCTGTTATCACTTACTGTACCTTTTCTGTCATTTTTCTTCTTAATGTAGAATTTAGAAACTTAGTTTTTCCAATAATTTATCAGATAGTAAAATGAAAGCCATCAATCAGTAATCCTTAATGCCCCTTTTCTCTCCTTACGAATAAGATTTGCCAAATAAAAACTGTATCATCATAAATCCTTCGAAATAACTGCTAGTGATTCCCCAGTCACAGCTGCCCTATTGCCTCATGTCTGAGAAATATCATGCCAAGTAAAGATTTGATCATTGCCTTAATGCTTAATTTTACTGAATCTGCTACCAAATAGAATAAGTTATTGAGGCATTTGTTCACATTTTCCTCTTCCTTCTCACTGCTATCTGCTACCATTGTCAAGCTGAGCATTTTTAGCCATTCCTACATAATTAAAATAACCCTTGTACCTTTTAAAACTAAGATACAGTAAAACCTATAAAATACTGGAAGACTAGCAGGTAGAAGCAAACTTTATCTTCTGGTTTTCTCTGACAGCCTTCATTAATCAGGTTTATGAAGACATCTGCTATGTTTTCCTTCCAATAATATTGTCAGACAGCTTGATTTGTTCTTAAAATGTTATACAAACATTAGCAAAATGATCTCTCTGATGTAAGAGTTTGGTAGCAAATAACACAAATACTATCCCCTTACAAAGATTAAAAAGGCAGTGACAAAAAGACTATGAGATTTTCCCAAGGCTACTGGGGGATTTTGTTAGGCTCAGGATCAAACCCATGTCTGGACTCACACGCTACCCTTTCTCTCAGTCTCACTGTTGAGTAGGCACTAATGCTAACACAGAATGAGTAGACCAGTAGAGTTATCCTGGTATAGAGGTGAGAGAGACTGTACAATTACTTCTCTAATGAAGTAATACTCCCCTCATATTTGGAACAGGAACTTTTTAGCACCCCATTTACATCGAGAAGCAGGATAAATATGGGAAAGGGGTTTGTATGGGAGACAACATGATTATAAACTGCAGGAAAATAAATGCCTATCTTCTTACATGTTTCCTATGCTGCTTCATTAAGTTATGCCAAAAACACTTTCCAAAATTTTACTTCAGACAGACACACTGCAAGAGATCGTTATTTGGAAGCCATATCGTGAAAATGACTACCTTGTTACAGCACATTTTTAGCCAATTTTCTTAATCTAATTTTCTCTGTAACAGATCTTATGTTTGGCTTAGGTGACTAAGGGGTGTTTGGGAAGTCCACTAGTATTTTAATAAAAATGGAATTTTGAATTACTCAGCTGTAGGTTTGTTAGAAAAACCTAAAAAAAAATCACTCTTTGCAATGTTACTCTGCTTTGTGCAGCACAGTAACTGTTAAGGTCTATTACACAAACACTATAGTCTTATAGCATAAGACAGAAAGTAGTGTTTGTCCTGTGTTTGGGTTTCCTTGGTAACAAATTTGGTAGCTTGGTTAATAAAAGGAATGGTGAATTTAATAACATTGTAACCAGAAAGGACTTTCTACAAAGCATTTCAAAGGCTCAATTTCTTTCAAAAGAGAAAAAACCCAGGCCTGTAACTGGATCATTTTGATAACCAATTTCCCCTGACCTAGTCCTACTGTTGCTGGGCTACTGAGTAGATACAGGCCAAGGTAATCATGCATTTCAGGTAGCTGTGAGGCATTCATTAGGGTGCACTTGCTTTCTCCTAAAATCTCTTTCTTTGATCTATCACCAGTAAATTTTTGATACTGCCAGACTGCAGACTCCCGACTATCTACTTTAGAAAAGCATGATGATGTTAAATCATACCAAAGAATGATTTATTCTTTAAAGTAGACAGGTAATTTGACTAGGAAGGTTTAACAACAAAAAATGAGTTACCTATCTGAAAATAACACCAAACTTCCCATGTTTGCCTAGCTGCTGACTGAGTATATACTCGTACAGTATCACCTCTATGCAGGGTGCTTTTCAGGATTTGCTGGTTTTGTTTGTACATCTCACAACATCTAGATCATATTTAATTTTGCACAGTGACACAAAAGTCAAGGTAGGCAGAGATGTAAAGACCTTAAGACCTAAACCAAGAAAAAATAATATTATCCTTATTTTATAACCCATAGTTAAAGGTATAGTATTTTCACCTAGACACAAAAGCATACATAAAGAAACTGAACAGCTAAAAGAAAGATAGGGAAAGGATACACATTTTGAAATTGGATTTTAAACAAAAGAATGAAGCAAGAGGAGGTTGGGGGTTTTTTTCATATTTTCCCATTTACATAAAATTAGGCACTTTATCTGCCATTTGTTCCTTGAAAAATCTCTACACAGCGGTAGGAAAAAGATGAGGAAGGAAGATAACTAATACACTCGAGACTAATTTTGAATTCGGTCTCAAAATTGCTAGCATAAACAACAGCTGGCAAATTCTACGAGAAACTAGAAGGGGTGAATTGAATGTTGGAAAGAAAAGAACTGAAAGTTTTCAGTATAAAACCATAAGATTAAATTTATCAGAAATGAGAATGTCATCAAAGATGTCATAGGCGAGAGTTAAAGAGAACAATTAAAGAAGGGAATAGTGCAGGCATGCTTTTCTTTGGAAATGCATCTGAGGTCATACTGAGAATAAAGAGGCCAAGAAAGAAATGCTTGCCTATGACTAATTCTGCCTAGAAATAAGTCAGTTCCAATGTATATAAATTTCTAATTTTGGGGCTTCCAGATTAGCAGCTTTTACAAAATCATTAATCCCTCATTAAACGTTTTAACTTTTTAAAGGGTTAGAAAGCAGTAGATATTATATTTTTTAGCTAATCAAACAACTCTGTGAGTAAGGAAACTTATGAAACCTACTTTCATCTGGTTCTCTGGGTTACCCCATGTCTAATGAGATGCAACGTCTGCCTAATCAGTTTTTGCAATGGAAGCATTCACAGCAGCTCCCTATCATGTTAGTTCTCCAATGGCTAATGACATAAAGGGCTAAAAATAATTTATTAGGGCTAAATAATTTCCTACCGAAGAAATTTTCAAAGTTCTCACATCTATAAGAGAAAGCAAAGCTGCATTAGGCTCCACTGTAGACAGCTTACTGCAGGCTGGGGCTCAAGCTGTGATCAAAAAAGCAAAATAGCTAGGATGTAATGAACGGAATGAAAACAATATGGACTCCTCTCTTATGTCTTCTACACATCTCAGTCATGTGGGCCTTATCTGAACAACTGCTGTTTCAGTATTCACACTCCCAGATCATTGATAAATGTACTAAAAAGTATACAGCATCCTAAATCAGAAAGAATAATACATATTAAAAAGTATTCAGTAAATACCAATGCAAACCAACCAAAGATTTAGTAAAACTTACATGAATAACGTTTAATGCAGAAACAGGATAAAGTACAATGTAATAATGGTATGTAATCATAGCTAGTGACATAGAGAGACATAAGAGAATAAAAACTTGTCTTTTTTGTCTCACAGCATGTCCTAAGTGTAATTCAGTGAAGACAAAAGGTCATCAGTTCAAAGAAATGCAAAATCTTTTCCATCTGACATTTAATTAATACTCAGAGAAGCTGATGAAACAGGGAGATTGAAAAGTGGGTTTGGACATTTATATAGATATCAAAAATATAAATAATAATACTTCAAATTAGTGTTTTCAAATGATACTACAATTCAGAGCTGTTAGAGAGAAAAATAAGATCAGACATGAAGGACAAGTATTATCACATTAGTCTACTCTCCATTTCTGAAACAGTGTGGGATCTTGAGTCAGGTTCAAAACAGCGTTTTCTATCAACCTTAGCATAGTTTTAGATGTTTCTTAAATTTAATTAGTGCCAATTCCTGTATTAAGTAGGAAGTGAAAGAAAGCATTGAGTGGGTTTATTTTATAAACATAGTTGGTCATCTTGGTGATTCTTTATGGTGTTATTTTTTATTTTGTTTCTACGGTAAGTATTCTTCAGCTACATTGAGAACAGCAGTTTAGAAATGTAATTTCAAGTGGCATTGTTTCAACACAGAGAATGGATTAAGCAACACTGACAAATTCAAAGTAGAAATAATCACATCTTACAGTAATACCAAAGCGAAAAATCAAAAAGAATTACTTGACCAAGTGCTTGATAAGGATGTCCAGCATCTCTCTGTTCTTCTCTGGTAACTTATGCACAAGTGCATGCACTGCCTCAACTCTGTAGTTCTGATCATCTGACTCTAAAATAGAAAACAAATTATTGTTGATAAATTAGAACAAGTGGTAAGATGCGACTACAAATGGCACCAATACCTGTATGCTAATACACACATACATTACAAGGAGCCAAATACAATTAGCCTTTAAAATGATGAGGATGATTTGACTATATTTATTACAACATTCTGAAATCTGTATTTCAAGTAACTTGCCAAAAGCAGTTAGCACTGATACTGGAACCAACGAAATTTGTGGCAAGTTTGACCCGATGTGCCACTTCAGTGAAATCCAAGATTTTACCCCTTGATATTTAAAATATCTAAAATTCTTGAGTGTCTTTTATTCTTATCAAGGCAAGAGAAAATGGGGAAATAATTTCAAATTCTAAACTGGAGTCATTAGAAAAACAATTTTACTATCTCTGTATCTCATTACTCCATTTGTGAAAAGGAGATAATTACCACCCCCTCCAATTTCTCAAGGCAAGCTGGGAAAATAAAGGTCCCTGGATGAGAGGGATGAATGCTATAAAAGAATTATCAGTCCATGTAAAACAAACATATATAAATCAAGGTTCAAAATTTCATGTAGAAGGCAGTCACACAGAACCTCTAAAAAGATCAGAACAAACCACTGAACAGCTTCATCTAGTGTGACTTCTCTGTTTTGATGGCTTTCATGTGGCACTGTGCTATAACATACAGTGACATGGAAGAACTTGGATCCACGGCTGGATCACTGAATAATAGACCAAGGAGGAAAATAAGGATAGCAACTGAGGAGACTAAGGGTTAGAAACAATATTACTTTCATGAAAGTGTATTTATTACTTTACTTACTAACAGCAACAATGAAATCTTTGTGCAGCTTGAAAGTCATCAGTGGTTCTGAAAGACACCTGGTTGTAAAAAGTATTAAAAAGAAAATTTAAAAAACCGCATTACTCAAAGTCTTTTTAAGTTTTATGGGTGTGATTATGATAGCCCTCAACATCTGCATACTGTATATTGGTATGTTGTAGGAAACCCAATTCAGTGATGACTGATTGCAAGTAGTATACAACTTAATCATGTACATAGTCTGAAACTCTCTGAGTTGAATCTTGTGTCACCATGTAAGTTAGTAAGGGAAATATTACTGGCACTCACTTCAGAACAGAGAGACACTGAGTAAGGGAAATATTACTGGCACTCACTTCAGAACAGAGACACACTGTTTTCTGGCGTTCATACTGTAGAACAGGAATAAATACAGCTGCAGAACATGGGACAGTGGGCTGCAGAAGTGATCTTTTGCCCAAGAAAGGCAGAAACATGATGAAATTCAGGACTGAAATTCTGATCTGAGAGATCCTAGAAGAGTCATCTTCTGAAAGGCAGACTGTAAATTGCCTTATAGACACAAACACACAGCTGCGGCTAGCTCATGTTCTAATTTCACAAATACAGTATCTACAATGATTTGTGCTTCTGAAGATGTATTATACGTCTTCAACCAAAGCCAGCTTTTTCAATGGAGTTTACATGAACATTGCACTACAAATCCTAGGCATATTTTCCAGAGTGAATAGGGATTTCTGATGCTGCCCTTTGTTAGGTGACTAGTTTAGGAAATCTAGATTTTTAGAAGGCATAGAACACCCACCATCTGGATTTGATGCTTTTTATTATGTTTCTTTTGAAAGTTATATATTGAGACCCAAAAAAGAGTTATTTCGGAAGTACCATAATTCTTGAAAATTCTGTCTCTTATTAGCAAAAATTTTAAGAGAAAATGATAGTGTGGGAGGGATATTGTGTTTGTGAAGACACCAACAGCATAGGATAAAAACCTATGCTTTTGCAGAAATTTTTATTCTGCTTCAACAACGATGCCATGAAACCTCATGGTACACAGCTTAAGGGATTCAGAAAAGAAAGACTGAGCACAACATGTAATTAACGTAAAAGATTTTAAATAAAAACATGCAATTAATTAAATTCTGCCAAATTTAGGGCTATATATATAAGGCATGACTATCTTAATAAGGCAGAAAGTGTGTGACAAATTTTAGATTTATTATTACACATAATCACAGGGATATTAGGCAAGATAATAATATACTCAATTATTACCATGCTAATGGATACAAGAAATGTAATATGATATTAATAAGCAAAAGATTAATGGGCCAGAAAAGGAATACTGAGATTTGTGTAGCATCATACTTACCTGAGGTAGTTTTTTAGTCCGCTTGTTATTGTTTTATTGTCCCAAAGTTCCATATCAATATCCATATCAGGAGGAGATTTAGGGGCTGGTAGAAATTTGAATTATGATTGTGTTATAGTTTGACTAACACACTAACTAGAAAAGCAGCAAAACAGAAGCTAATAGATTAGTCATTGAGCTCATGTGGTTACTTATTAGCCAGAATAACTACCAATCTGATCAATTTGAATCTTTTAATCTCTGCCAAAGTATCAATAAAAATGAATTTAGTACATTAACTACACGCACTGTATCAAAGTGTAAAGTAAGCCCAAGTCAACAGAGAATTACTAACATATTTGGCTTAGACATTCAAACACAGGCACCAGAGAGCCAAATCAGCAAGAAAATTGAAAAACTAGAACAACTGTCTATTTAACTGAGTTATGCTGTGTTACAGAACTAAGCTTTGGAACACTTCAGAAATATGCCAAATAGATACCAATAAATAGAACTTTAGAGCTAAAAGAAGAAATGCATTTTATCAGTAATTTGCTCATGTATATCAATGATTGCATGCAGAAATTGAATACTAATGCACAGACGAAACTAGTTAGATGGATCACTCATTTTAAGACTGCAAACTCAATTTAGTGGCAGTAAGTGCACGTAGAAAATTGTAAATGTTATGACACTCTTCTGAGCACAGCAGTTAAGGCAAAAGGGACTACAGCACACATGCTGCACACTGACAAAGGTTCAGTTCAGATACTTACAAAATATGGTATTCATCAGCTTTTGCACCTTGGAGTTTACACCGCCTATTCTGTACAGTCCCAGGATTGTAATACCTACATTGGGAAAACAAGTACAATGAAAATAATGAAAATATGGTTATTTCAATATATGCTGATGCATCCTTGGTGTATGTTTTCGTAACATCTAAATGTATTTATGGAAAATTGTACAATTACATTCTTGAGTACTGCTTTACCCTACTCAATTCTCTTCTGGGGTGTTAACAAATGCATTCCATGGAATCCATACCATACTATACAACAGAACCCTTTTGCATAGAAATGACCCATATTAGCAAACAACAAGGAGTTGGCTGGGAAAAGTGGAAAAATAAGACCCAAAAGCAGTCTTAAAACACATTACACGTCAACAAGTTTATCTTAGCTAGACTTCAGTGGAATTACAATGCATCTATATTTGCTTAGACCATCATCTCTTCCAATTAAGATTTGATTGACATTTATAGGAGAAATAATGATTGTACCCAAAATAAAAACATATGCTGTATACTGTTGCAACACTGCAGTTGAGAATTTATGTGTTATGCATGGATCCCCATGCAAAACAGAGACAGTTTACCCGTAAGTTTCAACTGTTGTTTTTTATATAATAAAAATATATAACAAATATATAACAAATAACGTTTAAAGTGTGACATACACAACACAGTATTTCAGGATTCCAGTGATGATAATTTTATTGTTTTTATCTGCCTTTTAAAATCAGCAGGATTTAAAAGTCTTCCCTTCTCCCCACTTCAGGTCTTACCATTTAAAAATTGTCCATTTTTCCTTTGAAAACAACATTCCAAAGTCTGATCTCACTTAGATAACCTCGGTGCTTTGTTTTGAAACCCTTTTTTTCCCCCCAGAAAAAAATGCAAGCTCTGAGTCAGCAGTGATTCAAAAGCTACATAATGTTGTTACCTGAGAAACTGAATTCACGTTGAGCTCAATGTTGCACAGAGAGACACAGCTTTTGGATTAGAAGAGTTGCATACTGATGGCTCAGTGCATGGACAGGAAAAGGTTAGCTCTTTTTATGGAAGATGATACAGCCATACCTCTTCATTTGAATGGGGATAATTAAAAACTTGCTGTGAGTTGCAAGATACCACCTCATCAGTAGAGTGATTATTTTCTTTTTGTACATTCCCACTACCAAAAATGAGTTTCTAAACATTTTTAAAAAATGGATAAACCATGTGCAAAATGAGTGAATAAAATGATAGGAGTTATGCTCTGCAAAAAAGATGTTCCAGCAGAGAGTATTCATGCCACTTTTTGGTCTTCAGGTTTCTCGCCAGAAACCAAAGTTGGGAGCTGAGGCTCCCTACAGTTTTACCACGAGAAAGCACAATTCGGTGCACACAAAGACCAAAGATGTATGCAACTGTGTATTAAGCTGTCTAAACAACATGAAATTACAGAAAATGTTTAAAAAACCCACTTAAATGATACGTTAAGAATTGTTGTTGGAACTTGTGGCAACAGTTTTAAGTGTAAAGCACACAGATAAAATGTGAAAAGTACAAACCAAATGATGGACACACTCCAAAGCACAGCTGTAAAATATGTAGAATTATTCAAACTAATATTTGAGAAAAAATACTCATAATAATCTAATACATAATTTGTGATTTAATACACACCTCTTGTTTCCACAGCATGAATACATTTCCTCACAAAGTTGAAACCTGCTTCATTTAAGAACACTATAAAAAGAAGAAAAAAGGTAATTCTTTTCTAACTTATTAATACACAAAATCTCTGTGTGTAGCTACATCCACATGCTAGTCAAGAAGGACTGATACACATCTATCCACGAGATTTTCATACTTAATTCTGTAATAGTATTCTTGTAGATATATCCTTAGCACTCAAAATCCAACTTTCTTATCATTAGTGTATCATTAGGAGCAGAATATTCCACTGTCTTTCCCAGAAATCAGTAGCCCCTCTACACATACAGCTGAAAGCTTGTTGTTTTAAAAGGAGATTACTGTACTCCCTTCCCTCTGCTGAGGAAAATGCTTTTAAGAGTTCAGGACCTACATTATGAACAGAATATATTCATTGGTTTTAACACAACAACATTCTTTGTTCCTTTCACGTGCACATAACCACTCATAAAATGGTAACATTGGAAAACAATCTTTGTTAGGGACTTTAATGAGTGAGCTTATTTCAAGTCAATGTATTTCTCATTAATTTTTTTGTATCTTCAAAGCTCACTGCTCTAACTAGCTAAATAAAGAAGATCTTAAAGCAGCATACTTGTCACCATTAAAATAAACACCATCATATAAAAAGTAGACGTAGTGGTTTAAATTTTAGATTTCCAAAATCTCAAATACACCTCCTATGAAGATGTATATCCATATCTGACACATCTCTCTCTCTCTGAGATACATACACCCACACATAAGTTATTTTTACGTATTTGTGTTAATATTATGTTAATAACATATATGTGTTAATATAATGTTAATACAATTATACACATAAATCTAATAGTATCTTTAAATTTACTCATTTTATTATTCAGTGTATGTGTAATAGGTGCATATACAACTAAAATCAGAAAGATGTGATGGGCCTTGGAGGTTCAACAAGGCTAAGTGCCGGGTCCTGCACTTGGGTCACAACAACCCCATGCAGCACTACAGGCTTGGGGAAGAGTGGCTGGAAAGCTGCCCAGCGGAAAAGGACCTGGGCGTGTTGGTTGACAGCCGGCTGAACATGAGCCGGCAGTGTGCCCAGGAGGCCAGAAAGGCC